TTGGTCAGTCTCTACCTTGCTGTGAAAGTCTCTCTTAGATGTAATTAACATTTAATTAGTAGACTTTGAGTAAGGCAGAATAAGCTCTATAAAATGTAGGTAAATTTCATCTAATCAGTTAATGGCCTTAAAAGAAAAGACTGAAATCCCCTCAAAAAGAAAGAAAATTCTGCCTCCAGGCTATCTCTGGATTTGAGATTACATCAACTCTTCCCTGAGTCCCTATCCTGCTGGCTTGTCCTGCAGAATTTAAACTTGAGAGCCCCTCCCCTTAAAACCACCTTCAAATCTTCCTATCTATCTATCTATCTATCTATCTATCTATCTATCTATCTATCATCTATCTCTCCTTCCTTCCTTTTTTCCTTCCTTTCTTCCTTCCGTCCATCCATCCATCCATCCATCCATCCATCCATCTAGCTATCTACATCCTTTTGGCTCTGTTTCTCTGGAGAATGCTGATTACTACTGCTATTTTTATTCGTCTATAATTGTCCTTAATGTTTAATACATATACTTTAAAAAGATTAAATCTAACAATTTTTTACTCTCCTTCCAAAATTTTAAGGGCTGTAAAAACTTCTAACTCTGACCATCTCCCCCATTTTCATGTTATTATTCACTTGTTCTTTTTGTTCTACTTTTAGCAAATATTATTATGATTTTCACAGTGCTTAATTAAATTGTATAATTTGCTTTTTTTTCTGTTCACTTTTCTCTTTAATCCCCAATTTCCTTGATTTTGTTAGCATTCCTTTTGAAGTGTGTCTTATACTATTTCAGTGAAAGTCTATGATTGGTATAAACCCTCAGTTTTTCTCTGAAGATGCCATTATTTTGTTCTCCCTTCTAAAGGAGGTTTAACAGGGTATATAGATTTTTGATTTCTCTTTTAATTTCTATTCCATTCTCTTTTAATTTCTATTGTGACTTCAATGGGAAAAAAGCTAACTGGCAAATCTTATTCCTTTGAAGATAGTCTGCATTTTCTCTCTAGATTATTCTAAGATTTTATTTTCTTTTCCTATTTGGTTTCTATAAGTTTAACACTGATCCTTTCCAGGTGTGGACTTATTTTATCATGATTGTTTTCCTTAATCTGTGAACTCATATCTTTCACCCATACTTAAAAATTTCAGTATCTCTTTGGCCATTACTGCTCCTCCTCATTCTCACTCTTTACAACTCCTCACAGACTTACATTTTCACAATCTGCATTCTTTGTCTCTTAGACTTCCATATTTTACTATGTTTGTCACATTCTGGGAAATGTTTTCAACTCTTTCAATTAAATAATTATCTTTTCATCTGTTACTAACATGTTGTTTGGTCCTCCCATTCAATTTTTAATTTTAATTACTATATTTTTCAGGTTTTCTAAAAACTGCTTCTTTTACAAATTTCCAGAGACTTCAGTTCCTCTTCAATCTTTTCAATTCACTCTTTTAACATTTTAATAATTTAAATACTTTCATTTTATATTCCCTTTCAGATTTTTCAATAATCTCACGATCATGTTAAGTACTTTACCTGCCTATCCTCACTCCTACTTGATTATTTATACTGTATCGAAAGACTAGTTTTCTGTATCTTCCTAGATGCTCTAGAAGTTTCAGTAGCCAAGACTAGTAGCCCCTCCATTAATGTCTCAGCTTGGAAAGTCTTGTACCATATGAATGGTATGAATTTGGACTTCAATCCATCGGCTTGTGATTTTAGCATCTTGTGAGACATGACATTTTTCGCAATGAAGGCATGAAAAGAAACAAGGCTTCTGGGAATGTTCCTGGACTGGAAGGCATGAGTGTTCATTGATGAAGACAATTGCTCCCGAGTCTCATGTTTTTGCATACTTTCAATTAGAGACATCTCTTGTAGCTTCAAGGTGATATCTGTAATGTGTGCTCTCCTTGCTTGCTCTTTAGAATCCCAGCCCTTAGGGATTTTATGATCTATATTTATGTTCCAACTCCAGCTCTAGAGTGTGCCATTCTTTTTTAACCTCTCTCTGTATTTTTACATTTCCTTTTGTTTCTTCTTTCTAAAATGAAGTATGTATTAAATTTTGGGAGTTATAATTTATTTAGCATTTCTATGAATTTCTAGCATCAGGATGGGTGTGAATTAACTCAGGCTGCATGCTGTCAGAAATTGCTGGCTTTCCTTTCTAGTGTCATTACCTCCTATCAGGGTTTTTCTCCCCAATGATCTGAAATATAAGAGATAATTTACAAAAATTTAGTTTGTTCCTTAGACTCTGGATCCTAAAGCAAATGCTTTATAGTATTTTTCCCACACAACACTAGCAGAAAATCATATTTATTTTTTCATAATGTCTACTTTCCCCAAATACTTCATTTCAATATTTAAATAAATGATATATACAAGACAACTGGCTGTTATTCATTGCTTAGGGATATTGCACTATCATCTTTAATTGTATACAGCCTCCACCTGCTTATTATTTAGTTAAATGATCAACTGTCCTCTCACTCATATTTTCCTTTCAATGACAATGTTTGTATTTATATATGGATAGATTTAAGTAGTTTTTTAAAAAGTGAAGTTGCCTTCAAAATGCTGTTTATTATGGTTTGAGGTTTTTCTGCCATTCATTTGTTTCTGTTCTTATGGTTTTTTTCTTCTCATATTATCTCACATCCATTTCTTCACAGTTGTAATTGGTTGTTTTATTGCTTGTCTAATAGGACTTTTTTCTACTCCTATAAATTCCTGCTATGTTTCTTTGTCCTTCCTTTATGATTCATTGAAAACATTTTTCCTTCTTTATAGGCCTAGACTCAAATGTGTAAAAAACTCTTCTGAATTGTTATCCTTGAATACTTTCATACATAAATAATAAACTCTTCTGTATGTATCTATCACTCCAGAGATAATACTAAATCTTAAATTTACAGAATTCTAGTCCTATCTACATAATTGCTCCATGTGATGATTGGCAAATATATTTAGTTTCTAGTAAAATAGAACTATGTTATCATGGCATTAAAATGAAAGCTTTATTTGTTCTGTTAATGAAACAAACTTTCTGCTCTGTCCAATAAACTTTCTGGGACAAATCTGTCTTGAGTTCGCTAAGAGCCATTTAATAAATTATTCTCTTTAGCATTTATTTATTTCTAATTTTTTTAATGTTCACTTATTTTTCAGAGAGAGAAAGAGAACCAGTAGGGAAGGGGCAGTGGGGGAGGGGCAGGAGAGAGGGAGACAGAATCTGAAACAGGCTGCAGGCTCTGGGCTGTCAGCACAGAGGCCAATGTGGTGTTCGAACCCATGAACTGTGTGATCATGATCTGTGCTGAACTTGGATGCTTAACCCACTTAGCCACCCAGGTGCCCCTAGCATTTATTTTGCAATTTTTTTGACATTTAATTATTTTTATGTGGGATATGGAAGGAGAGAAAGAATGATGATAATGAGAAGACATGTTGTAATACATTACAATTCATTGTAGCTCTGAGTTTGGGCTGGCTAGGTTATCACGTAAAAGCATCAGTGTTTAGGAAAGTGAATATTTTGTGTCTGCTTGAAAATGACAGTCTTCTAGACATAAGATGATAGTATTAAAATTGGGTGAAATTAAACAGCTCTTTAATAAAAAAATGTTAGAAGTTTATAAAGATGAAGGAATGATAATAGTGAGATTTTTATTGGTACAAATGAATGCGAATAGACTTCAAAGATATCAGAGAGAATGGCATTCATTCATTTACTCAGGAGTGCCTACTATTTGCCAGATACTGTGTTAGATGCTAAAAATAAAGTATACACCAAATGAAAATGGTGACCTTGGAAATTTGGGCCTTTACATAGAAGGTTATGAGAAGATGAATAAATAGTGTAGATTTGAAAAACAGGTTCATTCTGAAAGGATAACTAGCCATAGGGAAGTTTCTACAATAACTGTATCCCAATTTTGAATAAGAAATACTCAGAACATATGGTACTAGAGCTTATTCCAGAGGAACCAAAACAGTAGTAATTGTTGATAGAATATGATGATGACTTCACTACAATCACAAAATAAACTTTCTAAGAATGTTTAGAATTAAGAAACCTTCTTAATATCCTTGAGATCCAACATACCTTTGTGCCCAATATTAAAGCAAAGCAAATACTCATCTGTTTCTCTAACACTAAATATTTATGTGTATTTCATTCACAGTCAAATGTCCAATCAAGTTTTTCTCCAGAAATTTTGATGTGAAGACCAAAGGAATTCATAACATTTGTTTCAGAATATTTTAATTCACCATGTGCTTCCTATGAAGTGTTTTTTAACCTAAAATGGTATTATTAAGGTGTATCACACAGCCTATTTACAAAATGTTGTTCTATGTGTAAAGAATGAAGATTTGCCAGTATTGAAAATACATAAGATAATGTGCTATAACTGGAACTCCCAAATTCTGAAATATTAATTCCAAATTTATTTTGAACAATGACAACAGTCAAAGGTTGCTTTGAAAGCAAAGGTTTCCATTGTGCTAAGAACAAGTATAAAGAGTTTAGAAGCATATGATCTCATGTGTTTTGCAAAATGGACACTTTATAGTCAAAATCTCACACATAACCAATTTGTGGGTAAGCGTAAGCAGTGGAGTTAAATTTCTGGGCACTTTCCTACTGATGATATTTGGAATAATAGTAATACATTTCCCTGTCCAGAGTCTTATGTTTGACTGTTGTTCTTCTGTGAGTTGGTAGCACAAAGCTGATTGGCATCTGCAATAATTTCAAGACCCTTATCAATAGTGGGAAGTAGTGAGAGTCTGAAAAAAGAATTCTGTTATGATTACAGCACACTGAAGGTTTATTCTGGATATGATTTAAAAGGAGCCTTTGAAAATAATTCAAAATAAATCTTTTAATTTATTAGGGTTTTCCAGAGCTCACTGCAATTTGATAAATTTAGTTTAGGCGCTTACTCAAACAGATTGACCTGCATTCTTAGTACAGAGCACTGTTCGGTTCTTACCAGTTTTGTTGCTTCATGTGCAAGATCTTTGGCTTCTTGGGCAATTTTCTCAGCTTCATCAATAGAGTCCTTAATATTGCTGTAAGCATTGAAGGCTGCAGTGGCATTGAAGGAGATGTTTTTAGCTTCATCAAGGATTCTGTTGGGATTATCCCCCAAAAAGAACATCAGAGCAGTTGGGAACCCAAGTGAAGAACATTCTACTTATAACAAATATGGCTTCCAAATGATCACAGCCAAGACAACGATAATTCCAAGTCACCATGAAATATATTATTGGATTATATTGTAGTTTTCAATTTAAACTCATATTCCTAAATAATTCAGCTATGAAATGCTACCAACATACCCACTCAAAAATGTCTGCAACCATGTGCAGCATGCAAACTGTGAGCAGTGAGATGATCCTTTACATCATATGTAAGGCACGTTATACGTTTCAAAGCACTTGTACCATATTACTGGAATGACTTTCATAGAATCTCTTTAGGGTAGGTGTACTTCCCAGATAAAGACAAATGAAGGTTAAATAGCTTGTCTCAGGTCACATGACCAGCACATCACTAATTAAAAACTTGGAGTCTGCATCTGTGGACCTCTAACTTACTGCTCCATTCACTACCCTCCATGCTAAATTGGTAATAGTTAACTATAAGATGAACTGAGTGTGAATTGTGTTCAGAGTCTTCAAACATGAATATTTCCCTCTGTATCAATGCATATTAAGGACTGGAATAGAAGTTTACACATGGTATATATTAAATAACAGATTTACTTAAGAAAACTATTCCTGGGGTTTATAGGACCTATATATATATATTATGACAACCCCCCAACTGTAGGGGAAGCATACTAGCTATACGTAGAAGGCTATTTATAGGTCAAACGCAGCTTGTCACTTGCCCCTCCCTCCTCTGACCCATATAAGAGTCCTAGCTTATTTCACAGGAGACTATATCATATCTCCCTGGGGTTTGAAACAGAAAACAACAACAAAAAAAAGACTTAAAGACTACATATGGGGCCACAGTTTCAAAAGCCGCTCTTTTTACAATAAATAGTTTTGATTTAATTAAAAATATAAAACTAGAATGTGAAATAGAATGTGTGTTTACATATTATTATTTAAAATGCTAACAAGGCAACCTCTGTGCTCTCTAATAAAGAACAAAAAATAGATGTTCTCAGCATAGCCTAGGGCTATGTTCACTGCTTACCAAGCCATATTCAAATCCACTTTTAACTCAGACTTTTGATGTTGCTTCAGTGGAACTTTGCCCAGACCCTCCTAATTAGGCTCTTCCACAGAAAGGCCGAGTAGCTCGTATGTTCATAATTAGATAAATCAAGATTTGAAAGATCTCTACCATTTATGCGAATCACAACTTGTGGACAAGCGTCAGGATACATAGACATTTGCTACAACAAATGACTTACCCATCTAGGACAGCAGATGAGTCATTCAACTGAGCCGCATGGCTCTCAGCCTGGGACACCTTCTCAGCAAGCTTCCTGTCCTGTATTTCCTGGGAGAGGTCATCGATTTTATCTTTCAGCTCCTCAGACATGGGTGGCAACTTAGCTTGAATGTCTTCAACATACTGATGTGTAAAGAAGAGAGGGTACTTTCAGTATGTGACTACAAGCCTCCAATCAGTTACTAATTTCTCTAGGAGATATAATTCCACAATTATATCTAGGAATATATATATGTCATAATATCTAGGAGATATAATTTCTCCAGGAGATATAATTTTTTAATGAAATTTCAATTTTACTAACATAGCAGAAAGAGAAAACAGAATAAAAGCTGTTATTTAATGAGAGGGATTAGGAAATATAGGAAGCCAACTTACACCAAGAAGAACGTAACTACATTTTTCTAAGAAAATGCTACTTTGTAGATTTAATGCGTAAGTGATCGTCCTTAGAATCTTTTAGACCATCTGTCTTTTTATTACCATATATTACCATGTCTACTGCATTAGATAGGATATTCAAAGTCTGCTAATAGATTTACATTTGTCTTTCAACTAACATTATATAAATATTGAAGCAGACTTTAAGAGCTATCCTAGGAATAAGAAATCCCCTTCATCACTGTGGGAAAAAATACAGGTTTATGTGAGTGTTTATGAGTACCCTCTCATGTCTGTTGGGAGAACAATATGAAGTTTTAACTGTTGCCAAGAACTAGGCACAAGCACAATGGAATAGTCCAAAAATAATGTGGTTCCCACAAGAAAAAAAATAGTATTTGCTTATGTTACTGAGATTTTTGACTGTGTCCTATATATGAAAGCCTGTTATCATTATTATTTTCTTCTAACGTTGGGTTTTATCACATACTCACATCTATGATGGAGTTGATTTCATCTGCAAGACGGTTGGCTTCATTGAGTATGTCATTGCCTTCTTTTAAAGTGTTCTCAGTTTGTTGTTTGCCACTTTCAATAGCCTCCTTCTTTTTCTGTAGCACAGTATGAACGAAACATCAAACCCTTCAGATGAAACCCTCTCCGACCTGGTTTTCCTTTCTGACTTCCTTGAGCTGTCTGAACATATGCTTCACAAACAAGGCATGTCGTGTTGACAGTGAGAATAGATGAGAATGGTATAAATGACCTGGCCGGTCATTCAAAAGTTATTTAAATCTCTGTACAAGTACTTTCCTCCTCCCAGTGTAAGAAAGTCATCCAAGAGAAGAAAAGTAATGTGATGTTAGCTGAGGAATTAAAAACTACTTTTTGAAATATTTTATTTTTATTTTTTATTTTAGGGAGAAAGAAAGAGAGAGCATGAGTAGGGGAGGGGGCAGAGTGAGAGAAACACAGAATCTAAAGCAGGCTCCAGTCTCTGAGCTGTCAGCACAGAGACTGACACGGGGCTTGAACTCAGAACCGTGAGATCATGACCTGAGCCAAAGTCAGATGCTTAACTGACTGATTCATCCAAGTGCCATCCCTAAAAACTATTTTTAAAGCAAGATAGATACCCATTTTAAACTGTGTAAGCGCAAGTGCTGAATATGTATTACTGAACATGTGGTGGTACCCTGAATTACATTGGAACTAGACGTTACATTCCAGAATGTAGGTCTAAAGGAGTATTTTGTGAGCATAAACATAAGCAGATTTATTCTATGGGAGTTCTGTAAAATTTGGAAGAAGTGACATTGTTAAGGGAACTTAGGGGATGAACACATGGAAGAATAAACTTAATGGGCTGGTCCATGAAGAGAGAGCAAGCTCTCATTTTTTCTTGATGCTGAGAGCTTGTCTTAAAATTACATGAAACTGATTCCTAGCCTAGAAGGATAAAATCGATGAGAGAGAAATATCATTATTTTTCTATTTGGAGCATACCATTGTCTATTTTTTTTCTTTATACATCTCACTCATTCTCCCAAACACCTGTGCATTTAACTGCATCAATTTTAAACCTCTGCCATTTATGTTTTTATACGAATAATAATGCTAGTTTTATATTCATTTATATCTCAATATGTGCCAGGTAGTTTATAGGCTTTTCTCATTAAATTCTACACTAACTCTAAAGGTCCTGTGTTTACCACATTTTAAAAGAATAGGAACTTGAACAAGTGATTTACTCAAGGTCATAGTAACTGTGCAGTTAAGGTGTGAACCTGGTCTACCTAATGACAAAGCCTGGGTCTTGAGCTATGAAAGGACTGTCACTCCTATTATAGAAATCACTTATCTTATTTGCACTGGGACAGCACTAATTTCATACCTTTCTGCCCGCATCTCTTCACCAACCATGTCAGTCGGCTCCCAGGACATATGTCTTGTTCCTGCCTCCAATCCTCTGCTGCTCCCTCCATGATGTTTTCCCTCCATGATGTGCTCTCGCTCAGTTCTTTGCCTTGTTTCCTCCCCACTGTTCTTTCTGGTCATTTCTCTGACCACCTATCTAAAACAACCATCATTCTCATCCCAATTATTATCTACATACCCCAGCACAGCAATTACATGCCAGATTCGGACACTAGCCTGCCTGGGTCGGGATCCTAGCTCTGCCCAATCACAAGCAATGAAAAACAGGGGCGAGTAATTTATGTAGCCTCATGAAAAATGCTTAGTCCCTTGCTTCTCAAAATGCGGCCCACGGGGGGCACCTGGGTGGCTCAGTTGGCTAAGCAGCTGACTTAGGCTCAGGTCATGATCTTGCAGTTCTTGGGTTTGAGCCCTGTGTCGGGCTCTGTGCTGACAGCTCAGAGCCTGCAGCCTGCTTTGGATTCTGTGTCTCTCTCTCTTTCTGCCTCTCCCCCACCCATGCTCTATTTCTCTCTGTCTCAATAAGAAATAAAAACATAAAAAAAATTTTTTTAAATGTGGCCCATTGATCAGAAGCATCAGTGTCACCTGGAAGGGTATTAGAAATAGATAATCTCATTGCCTTTTCAAGAACTATCAACTCAGAATCTACACTTTAACAAGAACTCCAGGTGATCAACACAGTAAAATTTGAGAGAAACTGGCTTACAACACTGCCTAGCACACAGTAGACATAATGTAATTGTTAAGTATTAAAATTACTTCATTTTGTTCTTCCCCATAGCACTCATTTATCTGAATTATATTCTATAGGGTGCCCACAAACTATAGAATCATAGATACTGTTATTTTATTTTTTGTAAAGATTGAACCATCTTGATTGCTCCTCCTGAGAGTTCCTAAAAGCACTGTTATTTAATGAAAATCAGTGACACCAAGTCCTCACACGATGCATGTACAGTATAGGGAGCAGTGGAAATGAACAACCAGTCAAACTACACACAACTGAGGAAGCACAACATATTGAATACACCATGCGATGCCACTGAACATGTCACTTATTATATTAGTCGATGCTCCAGACTTCATGTCCATATTACATACTTATTTATTGGCTTAGGGACTACCTCCCTCACCATAATATAAATTCCATAAAAACAGTCTATATGTATCAAAGTTTCTATTCTTAACTTCTAATTAGATCTTAATTCATTCCAGAGCTCTATAAGTTTAAAACCTTTTGGGGTAGGGTGAAGGGATTAAGAGAACACAAAAGCTGTTTTCCTATCTGTCTAGCAACTAATGATTTCTTCGCAGTCTTTCATTTTGCTGTCTTTTTTTAAAAATAATTTTTTAAATGTTTATTTACTTTTGAGAGAGAGAGAGAGAGAGAATGCATGAGTGTGTGGGGCAGAGGGGCAGAGAGCAAGGGAGACAGAATCCGAAGCAGGCTCCAGACTCTGAGCAGTCAGCACAGACCCTGCTGTGGGGCTCAAACTCACAAAACCTGAGATCAAGACCTGAGCTTAAGTCAGACCCTCAACCGACTGAGCCACCCAGGCACCCCTCTTTTGCAATATTCTAAGGGCTGATTTGGGGACAGACTGTTCAATACATGTTCCCTCGCATAACTGAATTGCTCACTTTCTCGATGCCAACCAGGCACCCAGTCCTCTCTACCTTCTCTCCATTGCTGGAAGTGCCCTCTAATCTCATGTCCTTCCAGAAAGTTGCATTCAGAGGCCTCTGTGATCTAGCTCCAAATGCTGTTTCCAGAGCCATCTTCTACTACACACTCCTGTAGCTTGGCAGTGAGCTTCACTGCTCTATCTGACATTTCCCAACACCACCGTGCACTTCCAGAGCTCTAGCTTTGTGCTTGTGTGACCCCATCTCAGCTAGGATGCCATCATTTTGTGTGTGTGTGTGACTCTTTTGCTGATGCTCCTAGCCTATATTAATCACAGCATTATATACTGTGAAGCTGCCTGAATTTTAAGTTCTATGGGGCGGCCAGGAATCATTCCTGTTCAGTCTCAAATAGCCTTGTTACCAACAGGACCCTGCTGCGGTAGGTGCCTGACAGACATCGTAGATCACCGCCACCTATTTTCCAAGCCTTATACTACATGATTTCCTAATACAAAATGGATTCTCCAGTTTATATGAACCACTCCCAAATTTCCCCAAATGTAACTTTAATCCCTGACTCCAGTGTTACGGTGGCTTCTGATGGTTTCCAGGATAAAGCCCCGTATTCCTTAACTTGATCTCATAATGTACTTGGTCTTTTATTACTCAGGTTCTGGACCTTGTCTGTCTTCTCTGGCTCTCTATCCCCTATTTGTCCCCATGCAGTCTTGATTCCAATCCTATCAAACCATTACATTTTCTCCCAAAAGTTTTACATTTTCTTTTTTCCTCTCCATGTCTTTGCTTGTGTTTTTCCCTATTTCTGGAATATTCTTCCTTTTCTACTTTGACTCACTAGTGCTTATCATTCAGGACTCAGCACACATATCATGTCCTCTATGAAGGCCTCCTTAACCCAGGGGGTGATTCAGATGCCCTTCCTTAGTTTGGTTCCATGATGACTCCTGCAGTGACCTACTTCTGTGTACTTCTCACCAAATACAAGTCACCTGAAGTCATCAGAGATGGTGTTTTATTCTTCATTTTTAATTTTTTAAGTTTATTTTTGAGAGAGAAACAGAGAGTGAGAGGGGGAGGGTCAGAGAGAGGGAAGGAGAGAGAATCTCAAACAGGCTCTGCACGGTCAGCATGGAGCATGATGTGGGGCTTGAACTCATAAACCATGAGATCATGACCTGAGCCGAAACAGAGTCTGACACTTAACGACTGAACCTCCGAGGGGCCCCTATGGTGTTTTATTCTTTACATCAGTGGTTCTCAAACTTAAGGCTATATCTGAATCACTGGAGGGATTTTTAAAACCCAGGTGGCTGGGTGCCACTCCCAGTTTCTAAGAGGATAGGTTTGGGGTGGATGTTAATAATTTGTATTTTTAACAAATTTCCAGTTGATACTGATGTTGCTTTTCCAAGGACCACATCATAAGAACGAGTGTTCGATCTAAATCAACATTTGTGTTTGGCACATTTCTTGAACTTAGTAGGGGCTTAATAAGTGTTTTTTTTAACAAAAACTATGTGCTTATGTCCTTAAAATAAACAAATAACACTGAGCCGTGTCCTAATTATAGCACCTTCTTTGTGAACACAGGCACAACTTGTCTATTTAAAACACAGCTCATTATTCAATTGGATGGATACAATGTATCAGCTGTTCTCAAACCAGTATACATGTGGGATTAACCTAGGCAGAGTTTTAAAGTATGAACCCCAAGCCAAGTCCAGACTAACCAACTCAGACTCTGGGTAGGAGCTCAGGGATTCTGTCTTTTAACAAACTGTTCAGTTGATTCTCAGTCAGCTGGTCTAGCAGGAAGCTTGGTAATTAACCTAATGAGCCCTGGCAATCTTAAGTAAGCTATGCCTTACTGATGTTAATTTTGTCAGTTTATCTATTTACTCCAGTAAGTTTTTAACAAGTCTTTAGTTAAGCATGACACATAAAATGAAAATACAAAGAGGACCACTTAGAATTGCAATACTGACTACATAAGCTCCAGGCATCTCTAGGGGTGCCCAAGAATGATGGCTTCTGGTTTTAAACATCACTAAAAGGAAGGAGTAGCTGAAAGGACCATTTACTGCACCACTATAACTCTTCTTGAAATACTTCCCAAATGCTTATTATGCTTTCCACACAGGTAATTTTAATTTCTTAAACTGTTGCTATAAAATGGAGAGGTGCACCTCCGGGTAAGTTACATCACTGGTGTGTCACTGAGCAGAATGAATCATGTCAGCACTGGGGATACAACAGTAGCCCAGCATCCTGCCTCACAAGACGGCACTTTTTCTTTAATATTTCCTGTATGTCAGGAGACTCCAAATTGGTTAAGATTAGATACCTTAGTTAGGAAAAAAGTGAGCCTCCTCAATCCTCCATCAAAATGGCAAGGGTGAATCCCAGGAGAGGGACCAGAAAAAAAAATACTTAAAAAATTAATTCATCCTCTTACTTCTTAATCTAAAGGAAAATGGAAAGAAATGAGATGGGGGAAAAATCCAGATTTGTTTTATTCAACTGCCATTTCACGAACATTTTTGAAAGCATCATATATGCCAAAGTGTGTTCATTTATAGTGAAGGTGAGGTTATACACTAGAAGAGAGAGGTTTTCAGATCTGTTGGGGTCAAATACTTTGAAAACAGCAAAGGAAGATTGGTTTCTGGTGAGAAGTTGTTGTTGTTTAAATGCCAAATACGGTTTGTACCATCTTATTTATGTGCTGAATTTACTATTGGGGAAAAGTCATCAAGTTGCCATGTTAAGCATTATGAAAGAGAAAGAAGGAAAGAAAGGGAGGAAGGGAGGAAGAAAAAGGAAGGGATCAAGGGATGGAAGGAGGAAGAAAAAGAAAAATCTATTTTGGTTCTAGCCTCATAAGCTCTCTAAAAAAAGGCAGGGTGTGCCCATCATTTCTTGAGGAGAGAATTATCTCTTGTCTGTGAGGGAAAAGAGGCAAAAACATAACTCAGACGTGATCTGTTCGTGTTAGTACCTTTTAAAATATCATTTGCATAGAACACACTATGCAACATCTTTCCCAAGCACTGGACTCTCAATGTGCCCAGATTCCACTAGGAAATACTTGGCACTTTTGTCACCTATGGTAGCTAGATGTCTAAACAATGGTTTGTACATTAGGTTGTGTGGGTTACAAAATCATATGAGATTAGTATTTGAAGATACCTTGGATGCAACCTCATAAAATGCACTCATTATGTAGTTTGAAGACTGAGGCTTAGAGACATAACTGACTTGTCCAAGGTGTATTTCTAGTTAGTGGCGCAATTGTCATTAAGATCAAGGTCCCCTGACTCCCAGAAAAGAGTTCCTTCCACTATATCACACTGTCCTTAAAATCTTCAATACTTTGTTACCTGATTTTATTTGAGTTTATGGCAATGGTCCTTGATTTTTTTGTTTAAAAGGATCATTTCTGAGGCACCTGGGTGGCTCAGTCAGTTAAGTGTCTGACTTCAGCGCAGGTCATGATCTCACAGTTCATGAGTTTGAGCCCCGTGTTGGCCTCTGCGCTGACAGTGCAGAGCCTTGAGCCTGCTTCAGATTCTGTGTTTCCCTCTCTCTGCCCCTCCCCTGCTTGTACTTTGTCTCTCTCTCAAAAATAAACATTAAAAAAATTTTTTTAAGGATCATATCCTGTTCTGCTTCTTAGAAGTCTTCTTTCAGAGTTGTTCTTGATTTGTGTAAATGTGCATCACTTGACTTTTCCTGCCATGTTCAACCCTGGCCCTAGCCCTACAGATTCAGATGAGAATCCCTAAGACTCACCTCCAAAGCAGTCATGTTTTTCTGATTTGCTGCGGATAAGCGATTAGCCTCTCTGATTTTATCTGTGGCTTCTCTCAACAGGTTCCAAGCATCATCGACTCTGTCTTTGTTTTCTGCCAGTATTGCCCGGATATCATTCTCTGCTTTTTCATTCTTCTCTCGGGCCTCTCCAAATAACTTCTTCACCTTCTTCAGAAGGCCTTCTGCGGCTCTGCAGTCACCCCCACCCAAGCCCAATAACAGACAATAAGCCCTTGTCACTGTCTCGAGGTTTACTGGTATTAAATACTAATGCTAGTATTAAAACAATGGGAAAGTAAGAGTATTTAAAGCAGATTGACTGTGTACTAAATCGAGAGGACAATGGATACCTGAAAAATGACAAGGCCATTATAATTAATATTAAAGCACAAAAAAATCCACGCATTTAAGATGTATTAGTAATATAGCCTTTTCAACTGGAAAGAGTCTCATGTTATTTTCATAATCTGACTGATGAAATAAGTTTTATGGTTCGCTTCACATACCAAAAAAAACAAAATCACCTGATTCACTTTAGTGGTACATTTTCTCTGTTACTTTGAATGTAAGGTATGAACATTGATATATTTGGTTTAAAACTGTTAGCAGAACTGTGTTATTGGCACGCTTATATAGCATCATGATGTTAATCTATTTTTCTCATTCTTTCAACTGAGTGATCTGGGAGTTTCCTGAGTTTAACTTAATGGTTTTCCTAAAGTGATAATATTGTCCTTAAGAAAGGCAAAATACTTGGAAAACAGTAGTTCTTAAACTAACGGCCATTATAATCCCCTGGAATATCTGTCAAAACAGATGTTGAGCCCCATCCACAGATCTCTGGATTTAGTATGTCTGGGGTGGGGCTTAATACTTTGCATGTCTAATAAGTTCACAGGTATTGCTGATATTGTTGGTTTAATATATATTATTTAAATATTAATAACACCATCACTTTGAAGTTAGCTGACTATAAATGTAAAAATTTATTATCATCATTTTTAAAATATTTTTATTTATTTCTAGGGGAGAGAGAGAGAGAGAGAGAGACAGCGTGAGCAGGGGAGGGTCAGAGAGAGAGGGAGACACAGACTCTGAAACAGGCTCCAGGCTCTGAGCTGGCAGTCAGCACAGAGCCTGACGCGGGGCTCGAACCCACGAACCACGAGCTCATGACCCAAGCGAAAGTCGGACGCTGAACCGACTAAGCCACCCAGGCACCCCTATTATCATCATTTTTTTACTGAGTGTGTGGTCAGAATTCATATGCATTAGTAAAATCACTATTGCTTTTCCCAACCTCAAGTTTTCAGCCCTTATTTCAAGGTATCAGGCATTTATTACTTGATGACCCTTCTATTCAGCATTTCCTAAGTGACAAAATATATAGAATGGACTGCTAAATTCATAACTTTATTATATTTTTATTAAAACAAAAAAAAAACCTTTTAATGGTTTAGAAGTTCCTAGCACAAACAATTAACAAAGCAAGTCCATTAGCCTAATTGTGGAAGGGACAGCAACCCAAAAGATAATTTATTTGATTATTTAAATATGCAAGAACATACTTTTAATCCCTTTTAGAGCAAGATAAATTATAACTAAGTGAAAAATTTAAAAAAGCATCTTCTACTTATAAGTGTGATGAAACCTTTAGAAAACTGTAAACATCCATTTGGAAAAGTCAGCCTATCAAGTGAAAAAGTAACAGAGTATCTACTCACACTAACTCATCTTCAGCAACTTCCTTTTGTTTATCGAGATTTTTCCTCCTCAGTTCTGTCATCATCTGATCAATCTCTTTCTGAAGCCCTTGCAAATTTCTCTCAAAGTCCTGGTCTGGAGTTCCTAGAGTTTCATTTAGTCTTACAGCTTTCTCGTTTACAGCTGCAGAGGAGGAAACAAACTTCGTAAATTAGTAAACAAAAAAGCCACACACAAAAATGGCATCAAGCATCTGCTCTTCCCCACCATCTCCAAATGAAATGTAGTTTGCCATGAGTGTCCCTGCTGGGAGCAGAGAGGTGGTTAATAACAATGGATAAGAATAAGGGAAAGATGACCTATTTCTCCATATTCTATTTCTTTTGGGGAGCACAGTCGTTAAAGGAGGGGGTGTCTACCTCACAAGGAAGAAAACACAAACAAAGAAATGGCCCCAACCCTTTCCAGGGAAGAGGTAAACGGTGAGATATGTAGCATACCCTTTGGAAGAGGAAAGTACAAGGTCTCCACGGCTGATAAAACACAATCATGTTCAGTCCATTTTAAAATATGGAGTACGGTTTGTACTTTGTACTTCCCCACGGTTCTGTGTCCATCTGTTGAAAGGAATGAGGGCGGAAGCGCAGGTCTTGGGACAAGGGCTATAGATTAGGGCTCAAAGCTACCTTCCAGCAAAAACATCCATCGGAAGAGTCTGTGTTTTTATGCATTAAATAAAGTTTCAAACTGTGCTCTTCGGTATCTTAGGATTCCCTTGGCACTTCAGGTATTCTACAAATGATGTCTATTCTGTCAAATATCTATTTTCTAGGTTAGTGTTCTGGGCAAGGTTTCATTTGAAAAAAAAAAAGAATTCTATGTCAAATAAAAGTTTGAAAAACCGATGCACTGAAACATTTATGTAGTTCTATTAGTTTTAGGCTAACTTCTCTTGAAGTGTGTTTTATGGCACATTAACTTCCCAAGTTGTAGGGAGAGGTCTTCTCAAACTCTTGTGTGCCAAATCTTATTTCTATAATATTACCTGTGAACATGCTCAGAGTGAAGCTCTGGGTTGGCCAAGAGACATTTTCTATTATTCAATGCTGTATCCTAAGATGTCTTTAGGACATAAAGAATTGTGAAAATTCATTTATATTCTTGGAGAAGTTTTTCTGATTGGAACTGGCTTAAGCTGTTCCAAGGATAGTATTCAGAGTTCCCGAAGCAGGTGCACATAGGCCAAATAGAGCAGCTGTGAAGGGTATGACGTGAGGGGTTAGTACAGTGGTTCTGAAATGTGGTACCCAAACAAGTATCATCAGCCTCACCTGGGAACCTATTAAAAATGGAGATTCTCAGGCCCTGCCCTTGATCTACTGAGTTAAAATTCCGAGGGTAGGGACCAGCAATTCATATTTTAACAAGCCTTATAGGGGCTTCTGATGTATGCTAGAATTTGAAAATCATGGTTTAGCAGAAGAAATTGAGTTTTAATCTTTTACTTTATTTACTCTCTCCAAAATGCATCTTTTGAATTCTTTTTTTAAATTTATTTTGAGAGAGAGAAAGAGTGTGTGTTCATGTGAGCTGGGGAGGGGCAAAGAGAGAGAGTCCCAAGCAAGCTCTGTCCTGTTAGTGTGGAGCCAGACGCAGGGCTGGATCTCATGAACCAAGCTGTGAGATAATGACCTGAGATGAAACTAAGAGTCAGACACTTATCTGACTGAGCCTCCTGGGTGCCCCTGAATCCTCTTTTCATGATGAATGGATTTGGTTAGAAAGTTGCTCCAGCCAATTCCTTATTCTGATAGCCATAATTTAATCTGTAGAACAATTTGAGTCAGGTGTTTTAAAGAATAAATATGGCCATTTCTAGCCTTGTGGTAGAAATTATTGCACATGTGATGTATTCCTAGAAATTAGGGAGGGTGGCTTTTTCTTGGTCAACTATTTAACAGTCATACTTCGATATACACCAAAGAACTTTCTCAAGATTCCACCACTACTGTTGCTAAGTTATCACCTAGGCTTTGTTGTGTTTGTGAAGGAGCCAGAGAAACCATGGACTGACTAGCTGGAAAGCTTCTTGATCCAGCAGACTTTGTGAGAAATATGCCAGAATGCCAGTGATTAAACGTAAGGTTTATACTTCTTGGATTTCAAGAAAGACATAGATTTGGCTCTCCCTATGGTACATCTCCTCCTTTGGTCTGAGTGCATGTCTGTCTGTATGTTGATTTTAATTAATTATATATGCAGCTAAACACGGACTCATTTGCATTCCATTTTTTTTTATTTTAGTGAAAGAAAAATCCCACTTTTCAACTTGACAAAGGTGTACATTTTTCTTTTATTAAGTGAATATATAAATGAACTTTGAATAGAGATATTTTTGGAATTTGATTGAATTTAGCTTCTGGACTTAGGTGGCTCTAAGAGAGTAAGTAATATGAGATACAACCTCACTTGTGGTCTATACACAAGGCTAAACTTTTGTAGAGAAGAACTTACTGTAAAAAGAATGAGAGAGAAAAAAGGAAAAGAAAAAGATTGCTGTACCTTTTGGAAAACATGCATCATTCCTTTTAAATGAAAATAATATGTAAACAACTAGAAGGAATTATTAAGGGACACAACAACTGCTTTAGCAAAATGAAACTGTATTTTTTAAAAAAGCATCGTTTTAATAGAAGAGATGTGATTGCTGCACTGCTTGTATACGTGGAATTCAGAAATTCTCTGAATATTTTTAAACTAAAGATGAAAATGTTACTCAGTCTCTTTTTCAAAGGTATACACTATCAGTTCAGTACATTTTCAACAGAATTGAAAATAACTAACATTAATATAGCTCTTAAATTTATGTATTTCTACTTTATTTCAAAGCAAATTTTAAGTAGCTTTGAAATATCTTTAAAACAAGATACAACTATCATAAAAGGAAATGGGGTAAAGATAAAAAAATAATGTAAATCAGAAGACATATTAGTAGACAGTACCCTAGTAGCCAAAGTAGCAGAGGATTATAAAGGGAAACTTAAGAAGGAAACAGTATCTGCAACATACAAATAAATTGATTCTTCAGGAGAATCAAAGTTGTTTTTCATACTGTACTTAAAAAAAATCCTCTGATGGGTAAATTTGTCATGAATGACAAATACTACTGTGACTTATAAAATAGGAAAGAAGGTATCTAGCATATCTTAAGTCCTAATATGTCAGAATATATATATGCACATGTGTATATATATTGATATATATCACTCATTAATTCTAATAGTGCATGGAATGAAATATACTATATTTGTGATATAATCAGGCATCGTAGCAAAGTAGATTTTAAATTATGGTGAGATAAGAATGCCTAAGATGAATAGACCTTGATTATCTATGAAGAGGCCATGACTTATAATGGAAGATAGGGTGAGTAAGGGAGTCCATCTATCTAAAAATAGAACTGAAATAGACAAATGTCAGGCTAAAACATTCACTTTTCCCACAGCAATTTATTGTCACTAATAAAACCCAAAAGTACTGTTATTATCCACAATTAGTATAATTCTAAGAGGAAAAAATGGATGTGAATATATTGTATAACCTACTTAAGGCTTTTGGGGAGTTTGCTTTTTTAAAAAAAAATTCCTGAACTGCTAAGACTTACAGGACCTGTAAGCAATTCAGGATTTAGTTTACCTTTGGCATATTCAAATTTTAATTTTCATAACATTTTAACAGTTGTATTAGGTTAGGCAAAGTACTTTTATGAAAGGCTGTGGTTATCATTTACATTACTATCCACTGGAAGAAGGGAGTAATGTCCACATTTCTCTCAGGTACAGGATCACAGCTATCCCACATGGCACTTCACATGAATTAGAAAAAAGGTGCCCTGTCTGGACAGGCACACCCTGAGTGCCTGACTGATGTGCACTCGAGAGAATGGGAGACACCTTTGATGATACATAACCCTTTGCTCTCATGGATAGATCGTGCTTGATGGGCAAAACCTGGACTAAATATTGTCTCCACTCTGCCCCCTGCTGGTCCCTTTGTGGCATGCACAAACTGGCTGGTGGGTGCAATGCAGGGAAATTAATTAGCAGTGCTGACGTTGGAGTCCATCAAAACCATTTACTAGCATTTACTCTTATGTAGAAATATTTGATTGAAATGATTTCAAAATAAATTTCCAGGATAGGCTGCTAAGTATTGAGTGGTTGAGATTAAGGTATAAGGAAAAGGAAAGATACTGGTGTATTGACCATTGCCTTCATGGATCCAAGTAGAGGGAATCTGTGTGTGTGTGGGGGTGGGGGGAAGTGCTGGGGAGAACACTTTAAGTAGCATTAATGGAAAATGAAATCAGGGAAAGCACAACAACTCCATCTAGCAGGGGACAAACCATAATGAGTTAATTACAAATTTTCCAGTAGGAGTAACTTCTGTTCCAGATCCTGACATCTTTTGTGTCAGATTATGTCTCAGACTAAAACTCTTGCTTCTTGCAGTGGGAAATCTTTGGGAGTTTCTGTCTCTTCTTGGCCTAAGAACTACCTGTTGGGATCTGCCTTAAAGTTTATCCCATGTCCTGCCTTATTTGGCTATACTACAAAGAAAAATATCTAAAATATATAACACTGTAGAACAATAAAAATGTTTTGTCTTTTTGAGAGAAAAAAACCAAAGCATGTTTCCTCCTTTTTAAATATGCATGCATGTTTATTTTATATTAATAGATACTTAAGATCTAGTTTTTTGTCAAATCTTTTTTCTTCATCTGGACTGTAGCCCCAAAATGGCTTCCACTTTGATCCTCAGTCAGATTGGTAGATGCCAAGAACTAACTCCTAGAGAATTATGGACTAAATGCAGTGTAGCTTCTGGTAAGGTAGCAAATCCAAACACCAAGCACCAGATGTTCATTAAAAACAGCACCAAGCATTTTAAAAGCCATTTTGAGAAATTAAAGTGTTGCTTTAATGTACTGAGCAGAATGATAAAATTAGCTTTTTAAAAAATTAACAGTCTCTTAGTTTTGAATACAAACAATAGCAAAGCAGAAGTTGTGTATTAGTTCTTTAATCATAATAGCCATTCCTCAAAAATTAAAGCATTCCTAAGGGACCGCATTCAATTTTCCGTGACTCTGCACTTATGATTACTAATTCACTGACTGTTGTCCCTAATTTAACATTGTAGATTGTAGATGCTCAGCAGACAGCACCCTTGAATATACCAACCAAAATACTTTTGAAACCCTGACCCTCAGATTGAGAAATGTTATCTCTTACCGGAGAAATTTCAGTCCTGTGTAATCCCTTTTTCTATTTTTCTGTTGGGAGGCATAATGATTAAATTAAATGATTCTAATACCTTCTGCATCCTGGGCAAGCTCCTTAATGAATTCTCCTAAGGAGTCTGCTCGTCTGTTGGTCCGCTCAGCATCCTGTCCAGTTTGCTCGCCATCTGCTGTCACTTTGGTCGCCTAATGATCCAAATTCAGGAAAAGCATAATTAATTGAGATGATGAAGCTCTAGCTAGATAAGCACCCACTGGCTACATTTTCTTTCAAATATTACTCTGAGCCAAAGGCAATCAATGAATTATTGATCAGATATACTGGAAATGACACCCCATGCTCAAGTATACAATTAAATTTTATTACTTCTTCCATTAAATGGAAATCAGAGAGTCGTATTTGGTCTTTTTAAAACCCTTGCTGTATGCAATGACATAGGGGAAGCGATAAAACACTATTATTTTTGAAGTATCTTTAAGGTACAGTTGCCAAAAGTCTTTAATCGATTCTTCAACCTCCACATGTTTCAGTTTTGTCCGTATTTTATTTACTGAAAAAATGTGGAGTCCAGCAAGGATCTCTTGAGGAGACACAGGCAGTATGTCTCAATAAGCTTGATCCTTGAGATGCAGTTTAGATCAACACGTTAATTAAAGAAACAAAGAGGGAGAAATGCTTAGCTACCAAGTGGTAAATGTTTGTTTTATAACACGCTAAAGATGCCATTAAAACATTAAAGAATAAATGCTAACTTCAACCGTATGTCATCACCAGGAAAGATGGCCATTAATCACAGAACCATATATCATTGTCAACAAAATAAGACCACTCCACAAGCAGCCTCACTTCCCAAAGTTTATCCCCATACATTTTCACCTTCATGGATGTCGCTCGACACAAAGGAATCCATTTAACGTGTTTGTAGTTGAGATACACTATATTTAGTCAAATAAAAATGGCATGTATACTATTCAATGTTTCTTAAAAGACACTATAAGGCTTAGAGTACCTTGAAATAGGTTTACATTTCATTATTCATTATGCATGTGCTAACAAATATGACATTTTTTACTAAAATGATACAGATGATCTAACTACAGATAATGAATTGAAGAATCACAAACTGCCCTAAAATAACTTGACTCAGGTCCAAATTGGCAGAGTATTAATAGTCTATAATCCCATACCATAGTACTTGCATTCTAGACATGCCCAGAGATTCTAAATTTTTTTATACATAAGTGGATTTTAAATAGAAATTAAAATAGAACTAAATGTCTGGCCAATGCAGAACATGGGAAGAGATGCTATAGAAATTATACTGCATTTTGTGATTTTCCCAGGGGGCAGTGAGAGTTTTAGTTCATGACCAGTGTTCAAGGTTTTGCATAAAAGAATAAAAAGTCTAACTATCATCATCTAATTCCTCAACCTGTGAGTGTTACCATCACAAAAGGATGAAAAGAGAAGATGCATTGGAAGTTTTAAAAACTCTTCTTTACGGTTTGCAGTAGATATATAAAATTATTTGCAGGGTGCTCATCAACAGGTCAAGTAACGTTTTACATACAGACACCACGTGCATATACACATAACTTTTTAATTTTTTTAATGTTTTATTTCTTTCTGAGAGAGAGAGAGACAGAGAGAGAGAGAGAGAGACAGCTTAGCAGGGTAGGGTCAGGGTAGGGTCAGAGAGAGAGGGAGACACAGAATCTGAAGCAGGCTCCAGGCTCTGAGCTGGAAGTCAGAACAGAGCCCGACATGGGACTCGAACCCACGAACTGAGAGATCATGACCTGAGCCGAAGTCAGATGCTTAACCGACTGAGCCACCCAGGCGCCCCTACACATAACTTTTTAAATGTTACTTTTGAATTACTAATGTCAACTGCTTAAGATGTTGGCCTTCTAAACTGTTGTAGATATTTGTCTAGTCTGGACTAGACTATACTCTATAATATCACTCCTATTTTTACACAGCACAGTGTATGATAAGGGACTTGATCTACATTATTATCATTTTTCAGTATCAAGAATTAATGTATCACCAGCATTGGTATCTGTTACCACACAGAAAATGTGCTCTATAATGTAAACTTAAAACTTGGGGTACGTAGGTGGCTCAGTCAGTTAAGCATGTGACTCTTGATTTTGGCTTAGGTCATGATCTCATGGTTTGTGGGATTGAGCCCATGTTGGGCTCTGTGCTGACAACACAGAGCCTGCTTGGGGTTCTCTTTCTCACCCTCTGCCTCTCCCTGGTTCATGCTCACTCACTCTCTCTCTCCCTCAAGATTAATAAATAATCATTAAAACAAAACAAAAAACATAAACTTAAAATGATCAATATCTTATCTATATTACTAAGAGATCATAACTTACATATTCACACCATGAAGCCTACCAATTCTGGTTAACAGTTGAGAGCATCTCATTTTTAAAAATAAGTATATATTGATACACTGTTTCTTTTAAATTCTGGATGATCAAGATAGCATCCCTTGCCTTGATTTCTACTTTCCTAATTCATTTACACAATAATGTGTAAGAGTCATCATTGACACACTTGGTACTGATTATATGAGCATTCCAATAGTAAGATGTCAAGAATTCTACATGACCTATGGTAAGAAAGAAGTTAAAAAAGTTATCACTAAGACCCTATGTAATCAAACTCCCTAGCTTCTATTTAGTATGAAATATGCCAAACTCTTTCCTTCTTAGGGCCTTCTGGGATCCTGCTGTTTAGCTGGCATGAATTTTTCTTTTACCCTTTCAGGTGCTGGCTCTTTGTCTTGGGTCATCTTTCAGCCTCAGTGTCCCTTCCTGAAGGGTACCAGGGCACCTAGCCAGGTTTTCAAATTTCTGCAGAACATTTTCTTCATAGTACCAAGCATTTTGGAATTACTTTATGGCTTCCCTATTTACTGGTTACCTCCTCGGCCAAAAGTCAAGCTGTAAGAGAGCAGGAACTTGGTCTGTTTTGCTCCTCACTTCATATCCAGCTTCTAGAACGATGCCTAACTAACAGCAAACGTTGAATGAATGTCCAATACATGATTAAACAATTACCTAATGCATCTTGCCAACCCTGTTACCATTCGTATTGCCTACTTTTCTACGAACACTCCCAGAAAAGAGCATTTGTTTATCTTATTGTTCCTTAACTCCTCTCCAGTTATCTAAAATAAATTCAGTCTCTAAGAGTCAGTTCCTACCCAACTTTCTCTATGAAGCCATCCCTAACTATTTTGGCTCATGCTTTCCTTTCTTACATGTTCTTTTCTTTCTTTCTTTTTTTGCTCTTAAAGGTTTTCTCCTAATATGCCATGAGATACCTTGATTATATAATTTCCCAAAGCACTTTTCAAGCTGCATCTTTCAGTTCTTCCCGACGCTACCAATCTTTCCAACGCAATACAAGATGCTGTACTATACTTCTGCCCCCTTCTCTTTGGAAAGCAATGCGATCCTAATGGCATCAACAGTCATACATTCTTATCTAATTAGAAGGAATATTTACAAACATCAGACACCCAGTTTTGAAACGTTTGTATTACTCCTGAACTGAATTAGCATTTTCTGGCTTTAAAGAAAGGCTGCAGTTTCAGCTGGTGACTTGTTGATAAACACATATCTGCTGAGGGAAAGGGAAGGGGAGTGAATATTGTATTTCTCTGTTGGCCTCAAAGTGCTAAATTTCACCAAAGGACACATCTAAAGCAAATATGCAATGGTGATTTTAAAACTTCCACTGCAACACAGTGAAGTAAACAGTAATTAGACATCTACCGATTTGTTTCCTAAAACAAACCAAAAAAAAAAAAAAACACAACAACACGTAAACAGAGATAACTCTGCCTATTCTTGCACAGATCCTCAAATCATGTTAAAAGGATCTAATTAAATGATCAAAAATTTCAATTAGCATTAATTATTTACATTTCAAGATGTTCCGTTGTCCCTTCCCCACCTCAAGTATTTAACTTGAAAGAGTGGGCTTTCTTACACATTAGTTTTGTACATATTTGAAGGAGCAGCAATAACTACCAATAACTTGACGTTTCTGTTTACAGGTGATCCCATTTTTTTTTCAGTTTCACAAAGCCATCATCTAGTGCTCCCACAAAATAGAGACTGTAGGTTCTAGGTAGCAAAGATTCTTTCTGAAATCAGTGTTAAGCCAAAGAAATATGAAGCAGGGCATTACACTAAATCTTTGGATCCAATGCACTAAACAAAGGTGAAAACTAGAAAAAGTTACCAGTTTTTTTTTTTTTTTTTTTTTTTTTACAGAATAATGACCTGCAAAAATCTGATTTCTGGTTGTATATTTTACACACTATATGGATTTGTGGCATCTGCTAATTAAAGCAGACACGTACTGTATATATATATATATATATACCTCCCCTGTATCCCCACCCCGAAAAATCTCCTACCTTATACTATTGTGGCTATGAGCCCAAGTCCCTTTCAATATTCATCAAAGTTTTGCTGTAGAAGGAAACTGACATCCAAGTTCTTATTTTTCTTCCAAGCAAAACATGCTTGCATCACAAGTCCTTTGGGAAATCCTAGTATCTTTAATCTTTCTATATCTTCTCATTCCTGAGGTATTACCTGGCTGTAGTTCATAGCGCCACTTCCACCTTCTGGGATTCCTCCCCGGCACCCCCACTCCCTCCTCCTCAACTACCTGCTTCTTGAACTGGCTCATCGACTACCTGAATAAAATGCTCCTAGTGTTGCCTAATTTTCTGCAGCAGTTGAGAATTTTCTTGACCAATTGTAGCAGCACTAGAAGCAGGCAAGAATTGTTGAATAATTTGTCTCAGCTGTTGCAACTGAGGCTGCTCTGTAAAAATTCAAGGGGATGTCCGCCAGAACGTGTGGGTATTGCTGCAGGTGCAGCCACTGACACTGAGGCATGCCAGGACTAGCTACCAGAGGGGGAGCAACCACAGTCTGACTTTCTCTACCTGCCAGATTTCCATAAAAAGGTGCTCCATTGCTCTGCCAGGGTGGTTGAAACTGGCTCCCAGGGCTGCAATTATTTGCTGGCCTTTACAGCCCATGGACATGACCTCAGTTACTATGGTCTCACAAGACTGACCCTCACACGGACACTGGTTGCATTTTCAAAAAGGTTTGACCAAGAGGCACCTGGGTGACTCAGTCAG